TAAATATTCAAAGTGGCAGTTTTAGCTTATTCCGTTTTATCTATGTATAGCATTGTTATTATTTAAACCTTACCTCCGAAACTTTTTCTAATTGCAAAGTATACCAACTAACTTGGCAAAAGCAATAATATAGTCAAAGTATGCATTAATATAACTATTTTTTTCTAATTCTAAATTATTTTTAGTTAGGGTCAGAAATTTTGTGGGTGATTCAGTATATTCTTATTCTTATAAACATGTGCTCAGTATCTTTTATAAACATCTTGCTTAACATTTTAAGGCAATAGAATTGCTTCGGCATCCTACTCACTTGGCTTATTAGATTTACATGAAATAAATGGATATATGAGGCTAGTTATGATTCCAGAATTTATACGAACAAGCATTTGATTTTATTTTTATTTTTTACTTTAATTAAGGTGTACACGGAGCTATGCTGGTGCATGAACCTCGATTTTCAAGCGACTTGCTAGCTGATTTATTGAGTATTCCTGCTAACAAAACTTTATTAAGAAGGCATTTGGCCACGCATTTCAAGGAATTACTTGGTCGAGATATTATGCAAGGCAAACGTGAGGCCGAGTCTACTCTTGGCTTTGTTCCACTCACCCTAACAGCTAAAGTGAAGGTTTGTAAATGATATTAATAAATAAAATGTACATATTGTAAACTAAAATATTATTCTTGAAGGTTCCCAAGAAATCACAGTTCTCTTTAAAACGCCATAAAAGCCCCACGTTAGATGATCTTGGAGAATTAGTATGTCCAATGAATGAAAAAGTGCCAGGTGAACGATCTACTCATATGCCTGTGAGTTTGTACTAACAATACTAAAAGCACTAACTGCAACATGTTTTTTTCCATTAAAAGCATTTTTACCTATACTAATTATTTAATATAATAGACTAATATATGAATGATAATCGTCTACTTGAATTATCAACAAATTTTTAAAATGATTTTATTCTTGTTCTCATATTGAAAATAATCTTAATCTTAACATATAATTTACTACTATTGTCAATAAAATACTTTCAGATGAAGAAAAACAAAGCCGGACTGGATGCATCTGAATCATTAGCAGGAATCATTAATGAAAAAATAGGTTTTTAGCCTTTTTTTTTGTTCAACTGACTAACTATTTGAATAATCAAATTGTATAGCTTTAAGTATTTTTAAACATTTTAATTTTCAGAATTCGAACGATACACACCTCTAGCCTTGCCATAATGGTGCCTTGATTGAAAATATACATATATTTTTTCAAATATCACTAATTAAATTTTTATTCACCTATTAATAGGTAAAATAGTACCTATTAATAGCATAGGTTCTTATATAAAAGTATACGGCAAATTATTTTGTTGGAATTGTAATAAATATTTAATATTTTCTGATGTAAATTTTTGTAGATTGTTTAACTATAGATATCCATAGAGCAGTACGATTCATTCAGCATAGCATAAATGAAAATAAATATTTTACTTGTATTTAAGGTTTAAAGTATATTGTTTAATATTAAAATATTTTGAATGCTAATTATTGTTACTATGACAGCTTGATGTATACTATTTTTACAAATATATTTAGGATAGTATTTAGGATTATTAATAATAACAAATAAGATATAAATTATTTTATGATTATGTACTGATGTTTATAATTATAGTATAAATTTATATATGACCAATAAAAATTATGATATATCATTAATTATTTATTTTGATTTATATTTCATGAAATATCTTTTGTATATTTTATCATACACATTTCAACAGGTCCAAATTAGAAATTTTCTATTTGAAGATACTACAATGAAATCTCAAGCCCTATAAGTTTAAGCAATTGGGGAGAATTAATGAAACGCACTATTTAATAAAATAACAGCTCATCTGCATC